GTGAGTCTGAGGGATTTTTTAATATAAACCGCCGCTTTCACGGTAATCTTCAGTCGGACTGACTCGAACTGGCTGATTACTGGCGACTTCCAACGTATGATGAATCTTGCATGCATTGTGGCCTTCTCAATGCTCTCAAGTCCGGCAGTGGACGGTCGCAAACTAATGGTATGACTCGGTCCCCGTCCTGAGGATCCGGTTTCAGCGCAACCTTCTTGCCTTGACCTTTTAAAAACCGTTGCATGGGACACGGAACTCCGGTTCCTCTACATCAGTACGCGTGTAGCACGCGTAGACGGTGGTTGCACGTGAAGTTTGCCATCGCATACAGGCCTCTTCGGTCGCCATGACGCTGTCTTGCTAGTAGAGCTCGAACTGAAGCATGCCTTATTGTGGTCAAGCTCATGTCCAGACCGAAAAAAGAGTCGCTATTTAAGCAGTACCTTTTTCTCACGGACTTGCGGTCTGTGTGCAAACTGCACTATAGTTCCCTAACTGTCTCCCACAACTGCACACGCGGGAGCTGCGCCCCCATATCAAATGCCATACATGGAAGGTGTGGTAGCACGCCCGGACGCAGGTTCACGCCACGCCTGCCACCTCTGCCCGATCCCTCCTTCGATCTCCTTGACTCCGTCTTGACACCGGGCCCGGGAGGGCGAGGAAAAATAGGGTGTGAAAAATGCGATGGAAGTCTGCTATCACGAAAAACTTATTCATCCGCAATTCGCTGTTCCTGTCTCCATCCTGTTGTGGGGTACACCATGAACATTACCAGAAGTGACCATCAAACTCTCAAAATCAATATGCAAAACCCTAGCTCTCATACCCATTTTACTGGGGAAAACATCTTCCTCGGGGTTGCTACTTGAAGAACACTACTTGTACGTAATACGGCTGCGATCATGCCTGATCTAGCCTGCCTCGATGATGTCACAAACTGAAACTCTCTACGCGTGACTATCCGCGGCAGCAGATATGGACAGCCCGACCCATTCCCTTCGCCAATGACGTTGACCGAATACCGAAGGTCCAAGAACCATCTCCATGTCTTGACGAACAGTGTCGAGTCAGATTTTGCACTGACCCCCTCTTCGACGCCAACAGTGGGGCAACGGTACCGGATCGAGGGAAGTAACACTGAGCTCCTGAGGTGGACGACGAAGAACATGCGCGAACCACCTCACTCGTCTTTCTTGGATGGTCTGAGTTATCCTTGCGTTGTCGCAGCGAGCGCGGACTGTCTCATCTGAGACGAAGTCGGTGAACTCCGCTCGAAGGATGGTCCTCAAGCAGTGGTGGTCAAATACCTCCACCACCTCCTGTTCTAGTGTAATCACTTCAAGAAAAGAGGCATTTCCGTTAGTTTTTTTTGGAACTGCATACATAATTAGGGTGTACCATTTCGTCACTTTAACCAATGCCGGCCCCCATGTATACAGGATGATTTATATGCCGTAATGTATGTCCCGAGCGGGTACTAGTGTTGGGAGTAGGGTATATCATTTAGCATTTGTGTGATACTGGCCGGTAGTCCCAGCCCCACTCATATGAAGCATTGTACTCTCGCATTTTGGTGCCTCCTGCTCCATGTTCCAGCTGTGTATCAATGCTCCGTCCAAAAGTGTCTTTTTCCCCAGTCAGCTGCTTCCCTCTCACCTTAACTTCTTCTGCATTTCTAGTCCTACCGCCCACAACGCCCCGACGGCCACAGAGGACGAGGATAAAGCCCCCTCCTTCTTCCCACCCGTCTCGGAAATTCTAGCTGCCGCTGCTACTACTGATCCCACCGCCAAGACAAGCCTCTGGAGTATGGCAGACCCCTCTGGCGGGCTGTGTCAGGCTAACGAAGCACTGCCGCACCGAGAGATCCGAGCGCTGCGGCTTGCCAGACAGGCGGCTGAGGCGGTGAAGGCAAAGCAACAAGAGGCGGTCCCGCCGGCGGCACAGGTAGGGTAGCAACAACTTGTTGTTATTTCATCTAATCTGTGCCCGTAAAACTAGCCACGCGATAGATCGGGGTCGTACAGGCATTATTAGGAGTGCGCACCCATAAAAATGCCAATATTGGAGGCGTGGTGGCGTGTCCGTATGCAGGCTTATTCCGCGCCATGTTAAATCCTATACACCCCTATCTTGTATGAAGTCTTGGTCAGTGTACGTTGTGGATCAGGGGGTTTGGTGGTGCGCCTAGGTGCGCATTTCCTCCGTACCAGCTGTGATATCCCTTATGTTAATTCTATTCTTGTATTTTGTTGCTACTAACCGTTTGTTAGTAACCAGACGTTACTCATACCACCCTGCCTTTGTCTCTGTGCCCCTATTCGTCGGTTCTCGTCATTATTTGATCATTGTCTACTGCTCTTTGTCGCCGCTCGCTTTTAAACCGACCATCACGCTTTAGCCCCATTCGCTGACTGATTGTCTAATCACCTCGAATGTACGTCCACTTTTCAATTTATTTCCCGCCCTATTAACTCTGTTGTGCTCTGCTAATCTTACCGTTTATTGCTATAGAACCACAAAAAACGACCGAGCTGTCCCGACTGTCTTCTGACATAGCTTTGACCTGGGGTGCGTCTACTCCGATGGGTAAACTAGCAGTGAATCAAGAAAATCTAAAGAATACTAACACCAGCCACATGCACCTTTTCCTACTTCCAGTCTTCTTGACTCTGTTACGACAGAGTGCGGTAGATGCGGCGCAAACTCAAACGCGCACATCACTGCTCCTGTTTTCACTCTGCTGTGGCGCATGCGGTGGACATCGTCGGTCGCGCTGTCATTTCGTGTAATGACTTGTCCAAGCTGATGCTTTATTTGGGAAGGTCGACACGCATGCCCGGGCGACTGTCAACTTGGCATTGCGAACGCCAGTCTGCAGGAGGACATTGAACCGACGGCGTTACTGATTGTATTTGTTCGTCCCCACCGCCCACAGGACCCAGGCTCGAGCCCCAGCAACCAATCCATCCTCTTGATCGCACTGGGATTTAGTAAATGCGTCTTCTAGTTTAAATGGTACTCATTATTATACGATTTTTCCGACGAAATGCAGGCTAGTCGGGTAGTTTGCATGACAGAACGTAATTTACGGGCTCTCTTGTCAACCGTTAGCGTAAACCTGTCACGCATACTCGCTTCGAGGCCGACGATATGAGTACTCCGTAAGAACACTGTGTTTTCTCCACCATCAAGGACTTTTCCTTTTAGTGAGTTGATTTTGGCCGCACTGTGCACTTAGAACCGGCTGGCCATGAGGGAACGTATCTATCCTAAATGGCCCCCGAAGATTGCAGATGACAAGGGTGATCTGAATGTCCGCTTTTTGTCTAGTTTCCATCGTCAACATTACTCCGGAAAGTAAATAAATATCCACACATACTAACACACGAGTTCCAGGAAGCAGAAAGAGATCCGATCGTTGATGCATGCACTGTACATCGTTCCGGTTTCGCTCCCTAACTCATCGTCGGCAAAACGAGCAGTTAACGATAACGGTAATACGGGAGTGCAATACTCACTGAATGCACAGCCAGCGGACACCCCGTACTGGCTCGGGCAGTTAGCGCACTCGATGCTGACTCGAAGTCAGCTGCTCAAGATCCCCCACCCTTTCGGGGTGCATGAGCTGCTCGAGTCTTGTACTTCCCGTCTTCGCCAAAATAACCGCTGTTTCCGCGAATTGTGAACCATATTCAAGCTATCTGTCTGCGGTCGTGAGAATTTGTTTGCCACTGTCATTAAGTCTAATTCGCACACTCTCCTCTCCACCGCCCTCAGGAGGACCCCATCCGTGATCGCATCCGCCGAAACCTCTCCGCTCTTGTTCAGAATGCTGCCTCCAACACTGACACAGTGGCACAGCCGACACAACCTACCGTTGGCGACGCTGCGGCGCAGCCACCGACAAAACTGAACGCTCGCGCTCTGCAGAGGGCCGCCAAGATCTTCGACCTCAAGCTATGACCATAAAGGCTATCACCCAGGCAGACGGCAGCCAGCGAACACCCTGTCCACAAAGACAACCCTTCCAGACTGCCGCCGTCATCGTCTCCTCCCACTGCCACTCTTTGGCGAATATCTATTTTCTACCCTCCCCCCCCCCACCCACCCCACCACCACTTGTGAAGACGTCAGTAGTTCTTAAATACGACTCTGCATCGCCAGACGGCATAACCCGCTTGTTTTGATGCGGTTGCGATCGTGCCCAATATGGCCGGTCTCTAGTGTCCTGTGCAGTATCTTTACATGCACAATAATCAGCCGTAACCTATCGTGCGCCCAACACAGAGCTGGCCCCCGGGTGGTCCAAGAACCGCCGCCCCTGAAAGCGACTTTATCCGACCAGATTTGGGGCTGATAACATTCTCCGCCGAGCGTTAGGAAGCTGGGCCAGATTTAAGGCAGCAGCAATGGATGGGCGACGTGTAACCTGTTTAAGCCAGCCTAACCGCTCCTTTTTGTGGCAGCGACTGCCCACTATCCCACTCTGCGGCCTTTAATCGAAGGATCGTTCCTAGGTAACGGTGGTCAAAACCCTCCAGTTTTAATACCCGACACGAACAATCTTGTAGGACTCATCGGGTACATAGGTGAACATCTTGGAAGGCGGGGAAAGATCCTGCGAACAGTATAATTTTAGACAAAAACGTCACGCTCACTCTGATTACCCAGTGGCGAAATGGCCCTGTAGTATCTTAAACCATCTACCTCTTTGGGCTGGCGGACAAAAATCATGTAGAATGTCTTCTTTGGATAGAAGGTGCAGTCCCTTAATACTCTGGTTTATGTAACACTGGTGGACAGACCCGGGGGAGACCCATTCAGCGATCGCCGCTAGGAGTTAAGAAAGCCTGCAGCGAGTGGTACCCATCACGAATCAGCAAACTGGACAGAAGAAGTGGAATGGGATGTAGGAAATGCAACGTGTCAATACAAATCTCAGGATTGTTTTAAAAAATAGATCATTGAGGATCACTGGGAGGAGGCGGGAGATCTCAGGGGTTCTTCGCCGGCACCGATGTTGTCAGGGCGTTCTTCAGAATCGATGGTCGACCTAAAAGACCAGATAGAAGTGGGGAAATGAAGATTGGGACGCAAAGCATTGTAGGCAGTCGTAGAGACAGCGGACTCCTACCAGGTGAGGTCAGCGACTGCGAAAAGGACGGTAGAGCAGACCGGCGTCTGGCCTCCAGGCGTTCCATTGCGCGACGTCGATTACGTTCAATCCTGTCCTTAATACTCTCCTCATCCGGGAGCACGGCAGTTGAAGTCGACGGACGAGGCGGTGGAGAATTCTCCCTGGATGACGGATGCGATCTATCCACCGGTGTGGTTAATATGACCTCTTCACCCGTAGTCCTCTCTGGCATAACAGGAGGACGAAGGCTGGGCTGTGTGGGGGTAGAAAGCAATTAGTGTGGTGCAGGACGCGCGGAGTTTAGGTCTACTGCAGAATTTGAGAATAATTTTCTTGTTGCTCGCTTTGCCTACGGCAGCTACAGTGGATAACCCAATTCATGAAAGATGTCAGAACTTACGAATGATTGCCAATCACTCGCAAACCGGCACGAATGCATGGATCAAATATCTGCGTTCATTAAGCACAACTTTAAAAAAATTGTAAGCATAAAAAATATGTTAGAGGCAGTGTTGTATTGCTTCAAAATGCCGATGTTTTTAGAAAAGCACAAAGCCGAAAACGTCCAAAATGATCGTAATTTAGTAAACTACGCCTTTAAACTCACAGAATATCTTCTCGTTCAAAAAAACAAGTAAATGTAAGAGCACAAATAAAATAACGCTTAAAAGTAGTGTTTTAGTGGAGCTTACGTCTAAATATCCTTTAAGAATTAGTGCAATTTCAGGTATGGCGGTTTGCTAACAGCCTACAGTCTGAGTATAGATTCCAGAGCAGTTTCCCGAGGATTCGTGGCACTCTCGATTCCGAAGTGATTGAGATGCGGTTCAACAAAGAGAAACAGGATTTTTCCTGATTTCAGCGATGGGGATGCCTTAGGAACAAGTTTTATAAGGTCACATGCTGTCAGGCTAATCGGTTACTAATAAATTTAAACAGAATTGACAGGCGTAATCGCAAACATACTATTTTATGTTCACAAACAGGATTTTTCTTCTGTTAAATTAATTTGCAATTTTTTTTCTCTCAAGATTACGATGAGTTTTAGATCGACCTTAAAATTTGGCTGCATACTTCATGGTTTTCAGTGTTTTCCTTTGATCGCCCATAAAGACAGATTGTGTATTATGTATCTGTTAAGAACTTTGAAAAAAAACTTAAAACTTTAAAAACTTTAAAAGAAGGCATTTGCCGAAGAAGAGGTTCTTTTTCATGTAGGTCGTTTGGGTCATATTTGAAGACTCACACATGAAACTTCATTGTCAAAAAATGACCGTCCACAACGAAAAGTGAGCAACGAATATGCCTTCGATCAATTAGAATACTTTCTCTTTAAGGAATGCTTTAATACTGCACTCGGTTGGCGGATCTCTGTGTACTTTGCATTTTCGCACGGTGAGGCGAAGAAAAAATTTGACACTTTTGACCGTCTCATGTTCCTAAATAATACTAATATTTTCTACCATAAACGCACGAACGTGCGTTTCCCTTTTACATTGCTGCTATTTGCACTGTTTTTCTCGCTGTTAGACTCCGTTCTACGATTATGACTGTACGACAGAGTGCTCATATAAATACTGATATTTTTCCGGAACTATTAATGTTTTGCTCGTTCCATTTCTGAATTAGGTATGTGCAGATTTGTGCAATTATTTACCGTACTGACGACACAGGTAAAAACTAAAAGCCCAGACGCGCGTGTTTCTCCGATCTTGTGCGCTGCCTGACGCAGCTGAGAGGGGTTCGGCAAATAAGTGGGTCCCCTAGCCTTACCCGTGTTTTCTGGTATATGCAGATGCCAGACTGCACGACAAGTAATGCTTTCTATGTTCAAAACTGGAAATGACTATCCGGTGGTGGTAATCTGTGACAAGTAGGATTTTCCAAACGGCGAAACAATTTCAGCTCATTTAAAAGCAAGAATACCTGTCTGTGTCAGGACACCAAATTGCACAGATACGCTAATATGACTTAAGAATCAATTAAACATCTGGTTTTCTTAAAATAGCCCTTATGTTAGCAAGTTGATCCCCACGGTTAGCATGGGACAGAAAATCAATTTTCATGTCCAGCAAGCTCTGTTTAGTAAAACTCTCGAGAGTAAACAACTCTCCTTTCAATGAAAAAAAAACACTAACATCTTCCACCGAGGTCTAGCACAATTATTAGGATGGGCAATTACCCAAATGTACCGCAACGTCAATTTTCGCTCAAATTTATGAACATTTTGCTCGATAAAATTACATAAACGCAATTTTCGCACCAGAAAAGGACATCTTCTTGAAGGGGCTGAAGGAGCAAACAAAATGCGCAACGTTTATGACGTCCGGAAATCCTAACATCAGTTTCCGTTATCGGATTTCATGAGGTAGGTCACGTACTGTAAGCCAACATGACACGCCCCGCAGGCACAAACGGGCCGAAATTTCAGCCGACCTTCAGATATTTCCTCATCCATTAGCGAGATCTTCATACCTCAACCAGCAACGATAAGCTTGGAAACAGGGCAAGTGAACGATGGTGCATGTCTTATTTTGGTAGCGCTATTCACTGAAGAGTCCTTTACAGGGACCTTGGGCAAGCGCATGTGCAGTGGTAGTTATAATAGGCAGAAAGACGCCCAGACAACCGTCAATGCTTGTTACTTGTTCCATTTCAGTAAACACGCATGCGACTTAAACTGTGATGCAATCATGAATTGAAGTCAATGTTCAGCGAATATTCCCATGCTACAATTGAAAAGTCAAATTGGCGAACACGTGTTTTCAGTCACTCTTCATCAGGCCAAAACGGTTACAAAGAAGTTTAAGTTATGCGAATTACATGACTTACAGAGTCGATGCCATAGAAGCTTTTCAGATTGTCTACCGGACACCAGCAAGCTTCTCCAGAGGCCTACGCCAACGGGTGCTAGCTACAGCCGAGGAAGTGGCTATACGGCTGGCCAATCCAGTGCTATGCTGTCAGAAGACTCTGACACAGGCGCTCTGTCTTCCGTGGCCGACGCCGACACCAACGTCGCCCCAACCTCCTGACGCCAGGGTGTGTGCACAAGGTACCCGACGTACTCACAGCTTATGGCCCCCCTCTCCCTCGCCCCCTTAACCCAATGACCACGACACGCCGACTACGCCATAGCACGCCTCGTCATGCGAGTGACGTGGAAACGATGGGTGTTAATTGTCCCCGAATCATTTATAAGTCATGTAATTCGCATAACTTAAACTTTTTTGTAACCGTTTTGGCCTGATGAAGAGTTACCGAAAACACGTGTTCGCCAATTTGACTTTTCAATTGAAGTCAATGTTTTCAAGTACAGTAGATGTGCTAATTCAGGAAATGTTAACCGAAATTCTGAAATGCGTTTTCGACTCAAAAAAAATTACTTAAGTAGGGTTGTAAGATTAATTATCGTGCAGCATAATCCCATGATAATTCGGTTACTTGAAGATGTTGGCTTTCGAACGAACTTATTTTCGGCCGCTTGCAAATAACTACTTAAGTAGCGTGAAATTTTCTCACTGATTTTCGATGACCTTATGAATTCAAATTTATTTCATGGAAAACGTGCATGAAAATGTTCATTCTTTTACTCATTTGGTAGAAAATTACGTCTTCAAACTTTAAGCTTCACAAAAGGGTATAATCCAGTTATACATTTTATGAATCGCTATACGGTATCTTCTAAATACCGTAGAGAAATGTATGATTTTCCGTACGCGGAAAATATACAGCCTGTAATTGGGGACCCTGGATGCAAGTGTAACGGTCTGTTGGTTTCAAAATTATTCGCGAATTGGAAACGTTTTTAGACCTGGATTATACTCAAGTAATTATTTTTTACCGAGTGCAACTTTTGCGAACCGCCTAAAATAAGTCCGTTCGAAAGCCAGCATCCTGAAGTAACTATATTATCCTGGGGCTATGCTGCACGGTTAATAATCCTACAGCTCTATTTAGGTAATCTTTTTTGAGTAGATAACGCATTTCAGAATTTCGATCGAGTTAGCACAGCTACTGTAGCTCCCATATTGCACGTACTGCAGGCGTAAATACTAACCTGTGCATTCTCTGCCAAAACGTCTTCCATCGCAGCCCGCATCACGTCCTGATCAGCCTCATATCCACTGGAATCACCATCGTCGGGCTCGTCGACAAACTCTGCACTGACGGCGCTCACCGGCCAGACGCCTGCACGCATACGCTGCAGAGTATTGTGCACTTCTCTCTTGGTGCCCACCACCTCCAATCGCTCAATAATCTCCTTGAAGGAGAAGTTGGGCAACATCCGATTGGCCCACGACTCGTACAGGAAGAACAGACGGTTCAAATCCTCAAACTGGAACAAAAGAAAGACATGTCATTTTGATCGTTGCCGCGGCCATAAGAACCGCGCTAAACGAAGTGATATCTATGCACAGGGAAAATCGCCTGTGAGAGAGTTGACATATAGTACGCATTTATTTAAGTCAGAGGGACGCGTGAGCACATTTATTAGGAGGCCAAATTTAGAAGTACAAGGTGGCAGGGAAGAGTTCAAGCGCAACCCGCGTGCCTTCCTGAGACCGACGTGCTCAAGGACGGACTCGACGCATTGGCACACAGGTCACAACGCAATATGCATCAACCCAACGACTGTACTACTGAAAGACCCTACCTAAACTATACTGGCCTACCCTCTCTTCAAAATCAATGTCAACTGACATCTACTGAAGTGAATCGGCATCTGGCTGGCTCACGCCAACTTAATAATGTGATCGATGGTTCGTCCATCGCAGGCAACAACAATCACTGCAGCCCCCCGAACAGTAACAATTTGCGCGTAAATGAAGTGAAAAAGACTCTTGAAGCATCTACCTCATCTGTCCTCTTCCCACTCCTACCGTATCAGGACGACTGGATGCGGACGCGGCGGTTAGTCGCGCCCGCGGGTGCCACACGTGTTTTAATCAGTCGCTATATAAACAAGACCTCATTAGCAGGGATGACATATAGACACGGGTTTGTATGGGGACTATATGACAGTCCTTTCCCGGGTGTACACCGTGTGCTGCACAGTAGGATGAAAGCAGGGACGACGACTTGCGCGCGCGAGATGATTTAAACTGAGAGTGGACTTGCGCAGAATCTACCGCACTCCATCCAAACCATCTGGGTCTGTTGTCATAACATATTCACAGACCGGAGGCCGGCGAAAGCGTAGGTGGTTGGCAGGACAAAAACCTGCGTCTTGGCGTACCAGCAGATCCCCTGGTCCATAAGGTACACTGATCATGGCCTTACACAATAAGGTAGATATGGTGATAGGTCGGATCCCGACTGGCGCGGCGTGTGTCTGCGTCTTGGCGTACCACCGAGCCTTCAATTGTCGCGTCCGTTATGGGTTCAATATCAATAACGGCTACCGAATCCCGATCTAGCCCCCGTGTTGATCCAGAGCACTAACTACGTGGCCCGTTTTAAGCGAACAATGGGGCCACATAAAGAAGTTACTTCGACTTGGCCTTCAGGCAGAGAGGGGAGGCCGCATTATTTCTTATCTGGCAAATTTCTGAGCCAGGCCTTCTGGTGGGTCCATATGACTTCGGCTCCTGTCCTGTTACCGGGAAAGACAGAAAAACACTGAGACGGCCATTTTGCTAAATCTGTTATCCTCTTCCAATAATACATCAACCAGGGCCTACATACGGGTCAGCATGCAGCCGCCTGCATGGGTTGCAGACACTTAGCTTCATGGCAAGGACGGAATGCTTATCCCCGTCCCGTCAGAGTTAGTCTAGCGGTATTATACAAAAATTTCGGCGGATGTTCCCCGAGCAGCTGACACACGTCTTTCTTTGTCCTAACAGACTGATACGAAAAAAAGGAAGTAGTGAAGAGGCAGGTGCGTCGTGTGCACGAAGACATTTTGCGCAAAGTTGACTAGAGGCATGGTCATACGCGGTGTCTGTCGCAGATAAAAGTCCGCGTCCCACGTGAGTCACGTCTGGTTGGCAACTGTGCCGCCCCCATTTTGCAACTCTGCCGAATCAAGCAATCAGCGGGGCATGTGAGCGCACTGGTCTTGCAGTCCGGGGGAGCATGCTCCACCAGTCTGAAGTCCTAAAAAGTCACCGTCCACTCGAAGGTTGAAATAAACGCCTCTACGGGTTTCCACTGGCTTCTCCAGTCCCACGAGAGGCTTCCGTATTCCTTAATGTAAAACAACGCGCCGAAATGTGCGACCTGCGTCGTCCGGATTCGTTTTTCCTGTAATTTTTTGTCAAACCAGAGAAGACAATGCAGAATTGTCTCACCTCATGACCTCGGCCCTTGAACTTGACCTTTTGCAGCAGTTTTATGAGGGCCGGCAGCCCTTGGTCACCGAGGAGCCTGAAGACGAGGAAAAATGAAATAGAAACAATATAATCCCGGCAGGCATTCAAACTCGAACCCCGAAGTCTGTCAAGGTTAGCTCACCTTACGCTGTCAAGCTTTGCTCTTGGATGCTTTGCCACCTTGCGGGCAGCTCCCTTAGCCAGACGCTGAAGCCGGTTGAGCGCCTCGACGTCCACATCATCGCCCGCATTCGTGCTCGTGGTATCCGTGGGGGCAGCTGGGGGGGCGGAACCCAAAGGTAGGCGAGGGGTAAGAAGGGGAGAAGCAGGACCCTAGGCAATGATTGCCTCAAACAAAGACAGATGAAGTAAGGCATGCATGAATGTCCTAGATGTGTGTGCGCGTGTCTTGCCTCTAAAACAGGCTACTCGGTAAATGGGCCAGAACCAGCACGGGGGCTAGATAGGGGAATGGAAGACGTTATTGTGAATGCGCACCCATAATAAAGGCCAACAGTGGTACTGTGGTGACACGCCAAGGCGCGGTCACCAACAGTCCACAACACCAAAGACTACCCGCGAAACTGTGTCAACCCGTGCATACGCAAAAGGGACAAAAGGCCTAACCGCATGGACACCAAATTTTGGCGGGCGCTTCCGTATGTCAAGAACGTTTCGGAAGCTGTCGGCCGCCTTCTCGCACCACTTGGGGTTGGAGTTGCACACAGACCGGAGGCAACCATCAGGCGTCTGGTAATTAAACCGAAAGACCCACTGCCACGGTCAGAAACGTCTGGAGTTGTTTGTCGGATCTGATGCAGTTGCGGACAAAGCAACTACGTCGGAGGAGCCGGAAGACAGTTCCGAACGCGAATGGCCGAACACGCTGCAGCGGTGTGGAGAAATGACGCCAGCTCTCAAGTCGTGGCTCATTCGACGAGATTCGACCATATATTAAAATTCGGGTTCCGGCCACACGTTCAAATTTAACGAGGCCGAAATTCTCGCAAGAAATGACAACCGCGTGAGCCGGGAGTTACTTGAATCATGGTTTACTGGCCCCCAGTCAATTAACAAGTGCAATAAACTTCCCCTTCCATACTCTGTGCTACAACTTCGCCTAGGCGGAGTAATTAGCCACGCGGGGAGCGCACAGGTGAACACTTTTCCCAGCACAAGGGTCTGCGCGTCATATGGTCGCGCAATCATCACACCAACATCCAACGCACGAATGTCGGCCATCAAACAATTAGCACGCCAAGTGCGACGATCCCGGATGAAGGGGGGAGCCGTGGATTTTCATAGGTATGCGGTAGCACGGCGACTGCATCCTATAAATACTGTAGCCTCTTGTGCAACAACCATCCGCATCTGCTTTTGTCTCTGATGATGGATTCCAGCAGGAATCCGAAACGTCAGGCTAATAAGGCTCTTGTCCCAGCGATCGTGTCTCCTTCTTTAACACCAAAGACTGTTATCTGTCTTAAGCAGAGCCATCCACTTCTTCAGGTCAGGCAGGTAGACTTGGAAAGGTGACGTCATGAACCAGCTCCTTATCGGGTCGATGTAGTGGGTAACCGAACCACCAGAGGTGACGGTTTGGTGCAGCACTAGCAGGAGAGTCCCACGGACTTCCACTGTTGAGACCTGGTCTGTGGTGCCAAAGCCACAGGATTACTTAAAGGCACTAATTTTCAGAGACATCGAGTCCGATTTCGCTGTCATCGAGCAGGAAGACCTTGATCATAACCTCAAATGTTCCAGTTTTATTCATCTGTAGCTCACAGCGAACGACTACGGGCCTCTCTAGAGCCCACATGCTTATGCGCTCCTGATATTGATCCGTTAATAACAAAGAAGTGGCTGGCGATGAATGTGCGATCAAGTAGGGATTGAGGACCCGACGAAGTAAGTTGCAAGCAGACCTAAACGCTCAGATTGGAAAAGTTTAGAGATCCGGGAAGGTTATTAGAAGAAGAAAATTGGCTCTCCGGAACAGGTTTATTTAACTGCTGACGTTTCAAAGAGCTGGGTCGGCTCTTCATTGTGAAAACGTAAACTGCACCTAATCGATTAGAAATATAATTTAAAGTGTCAAGCTGTGTTGGCTGGCCTCATGCTGATCGATTTTTTCTCTCCTCCCACTGCGTCGGCCTCTCAGGAAATGGTTGACGGGCGTTTTTGCCTGTGCGCTTTATGAGTCACCACTCCGTCGAGGGGAGCTGCGATACTGTCTCAAGACCTATTTCACTTTCGACGGACAAATGTACGAACAAATAAAGGGCACTCCTATGGGCTCCCTTATATCAGGCCTAATTGCTGAAGTAGTCCTTCAACGGGTAGAACACTTGGTGTTTTCCAAATATCAATAAAAGTTCTGGGCCCGCTATGTCGATGACACCTTCGTCGTTGTCAAAACAACTGACATTGAACACCTAAAGGGACTACTGAACTCGGTTGACCCGGATAAACAATCTCCGATGGAAGCGGAAACAATCAACCAACTGCCCTTCCTTGACGTACTTGTGCGCCGGTGTACCACTGGACAGCTGCAAACTACAGTATTCCGAAAATCCACCGACACGAAACAGATCCTACACTTCAACAGAAACCATCCACTGTCTCACAAACGTAGTTGTGTCCGCACTCTATTCCAAAGAGTCGAAACACATTGCAGCGCACCAGAAGATAAAAGGGCCGAACGATTGTACCTTGTTGACCTATTTGCAGCCAACGGTTATCCCAGGCATTTCATCGAGAGAAGCAGACGTTGGGCGCCCAGACAACGGCCAAATGAGCAACAACCCGAAGTCTGGAGGGCCATTCCTTACGTTAAAGGGGTCTCTGAAGCGGTCTCGCGACTGTTACAACCCACCAGATTAGGCATAGCCCATCGACCACAAGCAACAATTCGACGTCGCCTGATGCAACCTTAAGACCCATTGCCACCCGCTGAAACCTCAGCAGTCATCTACAAAATAAATTGCAATGAGGGCGACTGCAACTATGTGGGCGAAACTGGGCGGAAATTGCAAACTCGCCAACAAGAACATAAATCGGCCACTCGGAGGTTAGACCCTAACTCTCAACTAGCAACACACGTTGGAGAAACGGGGCATACTTTTGACCTCCAGAGGGCTACCATCTTAGGCCGAGGCCACACAAAAACAGAACGGCTAACTCTCGAGGCGTGGTTCTCCGATGCCCACTCTATCAACAGGCATCTGGACCTTCCTGCAGCTTACAAAGTCCTACGTCATCACAACCGTAGAGCTCAGTACCAAACAACCACACCGGACTTATGAAGACAGCACGGAGATAGCCCGACGCTGAGCTTACTCGGTGAGGAAGAACAAGAACCGCCAGACCGACCGCCCGACTAAAGTCCAATCAGCTCCCCTTGACGGAGTGGTGACTCATAAAGCGCACAGGCAAAAACGCCCGTCATCCATTTCCTGAGAGGCCGACGCAGCGTGAGGAGAGAAAAAAATCGATCAGCATGAGGCCGGCCAACACAGCTTGCAACTTTAAATTAACTTTCTGATCGATTAGGTGCAGTTTACGTTTTGACAATGAAGAGCCGACCCAGCTCTTTGAAACGTCAGCAGTTAAATAAACCTGTTCCGGAGAGCCAATTTTCTTCTTCTAATAAGACCTAGACGCCCTTGAATTTATCGTCCAGTTGAAGAGGATATTGCCCAATTAGATGGGCCTTTAAACTCCAACGAAGGCAATTGCAACCAGTTTTAGTACCAAAATAATTCGAGATGTAAATGCCTCGGCAAAGGCAGATGATCAATGCATAAGATTAGCGATTGGAATCGATACGGATTCGTACCACAAAGCAGCGAAAAGGAACGGCTCATAGATGCTTTGGCAGATTAAGAATAATTCATATTGGCCCAACTGTGAAAAACTCGGCGAGTAACTCAACCCAAATGTGATTAAACTCGCGTCGTCCGACGGGGCCTCGTAGCTCAAGTGGTTAGAGCGTTGGCTGTACTAAAGCCTTCCCCTTGCTGAGTGAGTTCGAATCCCACAGACGCCGAGCTTTTCACAGTTGGGTCAATATGAAAAGGGACGGTATGTAGACCTATGGCACTGCACTGAGGAATACACATACAGAATGCCTGCCAACTCTTACTAATTGCATCAAGGTCAGCATCCAAATGAGTGGACTGTGCATCAACTTGCCGCCCAGCGCGCTTTGCATGCTGTTCACGTTCGTCAGGTTCTTCCTCACTGGAGTAACCAGGACCATCATCTGCTGAGACGCTACTCCCCGAATCACCGCCATCAGCGGCATCACTGTTGTCTGCGCTATCGCCTTCAGAATCGATATGGCGCTCAAGAGCGCTGCTGTTTAACTGTGATGAGGCATAGCGCGGTGGAGCAAGGAGGCCGGGTGTTGGCGGCGGTCCATCAAAGTTGAAGAAGGGTAATGCTGCCGATCTGATATCGTCATCGTTATTGAGCACATCCTCCTTCTCCTCCTCCTCGTCGGAGTCAATCCGAAGTCGGCGTCGACGAGCTTTGGCCCGATCAACAACCAGATGATCACCCACCCGCGTGCTGCTAAGTATGGGGTTGGTCGGGAGGGTGCTTGCAATCGATAAATCTGACGACTCCTAAAGTGCATAATTAAGAACTTCGCGATAGACAGTGAGTGGTGGTTAAGTAAATCTTATAACAGCTCTGACAAAGTACTATGCGACCACCAGACAACTTTGATATATTAACAAAAGTAAGAGATCCGGGTCGGTAATCTGAGGAAAATAAATTGCTCACCGGATCGGGGAACTTTTCTGGCTGACGTTTCGAAGAGCTGGGACTGCTCTCCATTGTCAAAGCCTCAAGTGAAAAAATCGATCAGAATTTTTGAATAGATTCCCGGATTAGTTGGTTTGGGGTTGATCGATTTTTCTCTTCTTTCGCTGCCTTGGTCTACTGGCCGTCGCCTTCCCTTCCTCCATGTCCTTGTGCGTCGGTGCGTCGGTCGTTTTCAGAAAAGCCACCAACACAAGACAAATACTGTACTTCAACAGCAATCACCCCCTCTCTCACAAACGCAGCTGTGCCCGTACTCTGTTCCAAAGAGTTGAACGCACACTGCAGCACACCAGCCGACAAAAGAGTTGAACGACAATACCTTCATGATCTCTTTCGAAACAATGGATGCCCAAGCCGCTTCATCAAGCAAAGCAAGCGCCAAGTGAACAAACGACGGTCAGAAGAAGGACAACCAGAAGTATGGAGGGCTATTCCTTACAGTAAAGGAGTCTCCGAGGCGGTTTCACGACTTACAACCCGCCAGGGTAGGCACTGCCCATCGACCCCAGGCAACAATTCGTAGGCGTTGGATGAAACCCAAAGACATACTGCCACCCACTGAGACCTCAGCAGTTGTCTATCAAATACGCTGTAAGGATGGAGACTGCAACTATGTTGGGGAAACCGGACGTAAATTGCAGACCCGCCTACATGAGCACAAGCTTGCAGCTCGGAGACTAGACCCAAACTCACAGCTTGCGGCTCACATCGGGGAAACTGGTCACATTTCTGATTTTCAAGGAGCAGCCGTCTTGGGCAGGGGCACCTCAAGGACTGAGCGTCTCACACTTGAGACTTGGTACTCAGATGCCGACGCCATCAACATGCATCTAGACCTTCCTTCGGCCTATAAAGTCCTACGTCACTACACACACCGTGACGAAGACAAGACAATCACACGGAACCTAAGAATACCGAAGAAACACGGCCTGTCGGCCACTTCACCCAAAAGGGGAACGCAAACGCAACTAACCCCAATCGAGGTGACGACGCGTAATACAGGAGGTCACCAACACTTACAGGCGACGACCAGTAAACCAAGGTAGCGAAAGAAGAAAAAAAATCGATCAGCCCCAAACCAACTAATCCGGAAATCTATTCTAAAATTCTGATCGATTTTTTCACTTGAGGCTTTGACAGTGGAGAGCAGTCCCAGCTCTTCGAAACGTCAGCCAGAAAAGTCCCCCGATCCGGTGAGCAATTCATTTTCCTCAACTTTGATAGAGTTTGAGCTTTTGTGTGTGTGTGTGTGTGTGCCGCCTACAGCAGGCCATGCGGCAGAGCAGGGTCCGCCACGCTTTATTTGGACTTTGAGCCCGTCACAGATGTCGTATATGGGAGGTGTGGCGGCACGTCTAGGTACAGTCTCACGCCGCGTCAGCCGCCCGAGTCCGGATCCACCTCCGGTCTACTTGACTGTCTTGACACCAACCTCAGGAGAATGCGGCAGATGCGGAGAAAGTCTACTAACACTATGACAGTTCCACCGGCCGTGACGACGATCTCCATCGTGTGCTCTACAGCAGGGTGAGAGCGAAGACCATGACTAGAGCGTGAATGAATTGGAAGTGGTAGTAGACTTGCGCTGAATCTGCCACACTCCCTCCTTCTCCTCCACCTGGGCACCGGGTCCAAACACAGTCAAGAAGATCGAAGGCGCAAGAGGACGCAGGTGGCTGGCACGGCGTAAAAGCGCACCTAGGCGTACCACCACACCTCCTGGTTCACAACGAACACTGACCAGGATTTCACACAAAAGGAGCAGAGGAGAACGACTTGAATTCTAGTGAATAAGAGTGTCATAGCGGTCACATCAAGATGGAGCCATTGCGGCCTGACTATCTGTCCACCACTTGGCCACTCCGCACAAGCACACACTGGACTAACTACGAGGTCTGAATCCCATCGCCACTTGGCAACCCTCCAAGCCGCGAGGCTCAGCGCACCGTGATAGCCGCAGGCTCGGATCATACCTACAGCAGAGGGGCTACATGGAGAAGAGACACACTTTTCACTTACGTTAGAGATGCCAATGACGTGCTTGCGACGTGTGCATTGTAGGTACTGGGGAGGGGAGAGATGCGATTGTATGATACAGTTAGTGGTTTCTCACCACAGGCTTTTGTGGGGGCGCATGTGGTTCAACAGGCCAATGCGATGGCTGAACATGCGAGGCTAGGGCGAGCAATTACGACGATAGCATATAGTTTACGTCGGTTCTCCAGGCACTGGTTCGCCAGTCTCTGTGCGATGGATTCACAAGTGTCAGATCAGGACAATGTGCGAGGCGGATGTGGGGTGTAAGTGTTGGCAGGATAGGTTGGGGGATGTAAGATCGGTTGTCGTTGTGGTGCTGGTGGTGGTGATGATGATGAGGGCGTTGGTCGATGGGAATTTGCTTGAGCTAGGGATGAGAAGGATGGTTGATGCGCAAGGTGTGTATGGTGAGTCGATATTGCAGTGAACGCCGCTGCTGTGGATATGCATGTGACCAAATATGCCCATGTGATGTAAAAATGTGTGTGGACAGTGAAGACGGATGCAGCGAATGTTTGTGGGGGCTCCTGGCCCTGGTGCGCCGATTGAATTGCAATTTGTGCGCAAGTGACCGACTAGGCCGGTGCGCGGAACTTAAGTGCGATCGCAATGGGGACTGGTTAGAACCAAGTGCACATGGCTGATGATGGGGGTGGAAATGGTGAGGGTGGTGGTTAACGAGCCGTCGAGAGCTCTTTTCGCGGATGGAAGATGTGATCGCCGTCGCCATGGACGTCGTGGCAGGGATGATGGGGCTGGCGGCAGAGGACGTCGACGAAGCGCGGGGACGTAGGGCAACGGCGATGAGGG